GCCTTAGACGAAGTCTGCTAGACGAGCTGCGCAGTCGGCCGGCAGCTAGAATTCCGGAAATTTGCGTTTAACTGCACACTGATGGAATGGACGTTTTTAGTGGTTCCAGTCAAAGCCTGTGGCCTATACTTAGTCGTATTAGCCGTCAGGTTGCTGACCAAACTTTCGTTGTCGGCGTTAACTCCGGTTCCGTTAAGCCCGACATCTTGGATGATTGCGTGTCTGAACTGAAGGACCTCCTAACTAGTGGTCTGTATTTTCCACAAAAGGATGATCTTGTCAGGGGCGTTCTCGAGAATGTCATCCGCGACACACATTCTCGGTCTTATGTCAGGCAGGTGAAAATCCATAACTGCTATTGCGGTTGCGACAGGAATGTTATTTCGTAGAAGTAACAGCAACTACAGTTAGTGACCTAACTCGTGAAATTTGTCGAAATTTACGAATGATTGCCAATCACTCGCAAACCGACACCATTTCATGAGTCCAATGTCTACGTTTATTTAGTACAAGTTCAAAAGAATTAACAGCGTAAAAGAAATATTGAAGGCAGTGTTGCGTTGTTTAGAAATGCCGATTTTTTTAGGAAAGCGCAATATCCCGAAAACGTCAAAAATGACTGTTATTAAGTATACTTCGTTTTAAAATGCATGCAATATATTCTCATACCAAAAAATAGTAAATACGAAAGCAGAAATACAATAATGTCTAGTAATTGTGTTTCGGTTAAGTTTACATCTAAATATCGTTTAATAACTAGTGTGATTTCATGTATGGCGGTTTGTCAACTGCCTACATTCCGATGTAGATTCCAAAACAGTTATCTCGCGTTTTGTGTGATCGTTGAGTCTTTTCAGTAAAGTGAGATGAGATTCAACAAGAGAAACAGGATTTTGCTTCACTTCACCGATGGGACGTCGAAGGAACAAAAGTTTTCGTAAGGTGACATCCCATGACGCCAGTCGTTGCCTAATAAATATAAATAGAACTGACAGGCGTGATCGTAAACATATCATTTTGTGTTTATAGAGAGAACTTTTCTTCCGTTTAATTCATTTACACTTTTCCTTTGTTTTGGATTACGTTGAGTTTAAGATCGGTTCGAAATGATGCTGAATACTTCATGGTGTTCAGTGTTTAACCCGATCGTCCATAAAGACAGATTTCGAATAACCTGTCTGTTGAGAACTTTCAAATAAGATTATTCTTAAAGGCCTTTACGGAATTAGCGAGTATTCGGGCGCTTCTCTTCACGAAGATGGTCGTTTGGGTCACAAGTGAAGACTCATTCAAATATCGAACTTCATTTTCGAGAAAAATAGCTGTCCACAACGAAAGTCAGCAATGAATATGACTTAGATCAATAAGAAAACTTTCCTTAATAAGTTAACTCTTTAAGATGTGCTTTGTCAATGCACTCAGTTGACAGATCTCTGTGTATTTTGCATTTTTGCACGGCGAGGCCAACTAAAAATTTAACACTTTTGGCCGTTTCTCTCATGATACTAAACAATTATAATATTTCTCAACCACAAACGTAATAACATGCCTTTATCTATATATTGCGGTCATTCGCATTGTTTTTGATCGCTTTTAGACTCCGTTCTTAGACAATGAGTGCACAACAGAGCACCCATATAAATACTGATATTTTTGTATAACTATAAATGTTCTGCTCGTTCTATTTCTTAATAAGGTATGCACAGAGCATAATCTACACGAGAATTAGTGTTTCATATTTACAAAACTGGAAATGACCTTTTGGTGGTGATCACTAATGTGACATCAGGTAGAATTTTCCAAACGGCAAAAAAATTTCGGCCCACTTAAACGAAGGAATCCATGTCTGGGCTATTACTGCATTTTAGGGTACAAAATCGCACAGATCTGCTAATTTGACATTTACGAATTGATGAAACCTCTAGTTTTCTTAAAATAACCTTTGTGTTAACAGGTTTATTACCATGGTTAACATCGGACATAAAATAAATTCTTAAGTTTGCCTAAATCTGCTTATTAGAACGCTTGCAGGTAAATTACTATCCTTTCAATGAAAAAGTCGGTTACGTGCGTAACCGCAGTCTAGGGCATGTATTAGCATATGAAAGTGCACGAATATATTCCAACGTCCATTTTCGCTAAAAATGTATTAATATGTTACTTGATATAATTACCTAAACACAATTTCAGCACGAAAAAAGGACATTTTATTGAAGGATGTGAATGAGCGAACAAAATGCGCAACGTTAAAGACGCCCAGCAGTTCTCGCATTAGTTTCCGATTTCAGATTTCATGAGAAAGTTCACGAACTATACTTTAGGCGTTATCACGAGGGCGGGCCCTTTGCCAAATGTATGACATTTCCAACACATAGTGAGCACTCGTGGGACGACATGTCATTCAACGTATACAGTCGCAAGCATCAGTTACATCCCCTAGAGCGGATATTCACTAACGTACGCACGACGTTCACGGACAGAAAGCAACTTTTCGGTAGTTGCACGACCAGTACCGGCACTATGTATGAAGGGAAATCTACTGAGATGATCTTGCTACCCCACATTAGCGCTCGCGCTCTTTATAGTTGCAACCAGGGGGCCGCAAAGCGCGCCAAAGCGTAATCACAGCAAAATCTGTTATGTACGAAGACGAGGCGTGCACTGGATGCTCCTATATTCTGCTGAAAGTCCAAAAACTTGAAAACGAGCTTGCTGCTTTACGGAAGCTCGTGCAAGCAAACGATGGTGGGCAAAACGCGGTTAACGGCGCTATAGTTGGCAAGACAAAGGCAAAGAGTAAAACTCCAAAACAGCCAAGGAACAGAGTTTGTGGAAAACCTCAGTGCAAGGAAGCGGACACTCATGACGATGGGATAATGACAACGGAGTGTCTTGTTTCTATGGAAGACAACGGAAGCGAAGCATCAACTTATATCAGCCATTCTGTGTGTTCAATTGAACCCTCGGTTGGAATTGAGGAATCAAGCTCGTAGCGAGGTAGAATGGGTCAGTACCCCAACAGGAGTATAAAGACCAAGACGACTCCGGTGGATCTCCTGAGACCTTCAGCTGACAAGGCGGCCGGAAAGAGAACAAATGAGCCCCTTGATCGCCAGCACTGCGTAGTCGTCCAGGGCCTCTCGGAGTCGAATGTTCCTACTCCGAAGGGGAGGATTTTCGCTGACCTTAATATGTTTCAACACCTACTTAACAAAATGCTTAATTCGAATGAAAAGGTAACCATTCGCGCTGCCTTCAAGATCGGAAAGAAGGTGAGCGAACAATCGGAAACTATGCGGCCACGACCTCTGAAAATTTCTTTGGACAGTAAAGAGGAGACTAGCTTACTTCTGTCCAGGAAAAGCAGCCTGCGAAACTCTCACAAGGAGGTTTTTGTTCAGCCGGACTATTCTCCAGCGGGACGTCTAAAACGCCGCGAATTAGTGACGGAGCTGAAGAGGAGACTTGCAGCTGGAGAGAGCAACTTGACTTTTTTCAGGGGAGAATGAAATGCTGCTCTGGAAAAAACCAGTGGTCGTGATGGCGGCAACAATAGGATATTGCCAAACCCGAGACAAATCGAACGAAGCACTGTCGAATGTTGCAAACTTAAATTCTTTTACATCAATGCTCAGCGCCCGTTTTTCAAGCTTGACGAAATGAAAACAGGTAGCCGATACGCCTCCGGATCCTTTTCCGATAACATAAACGTGGCTTTGGGACATTTTGTCCCTGGTACGATGCTGAAGTAGGCAAAGAATGGAGGAGTTTATGGTACCAGCAAATTTCGGGATGTCTGTTTAGCTGCGTTCTTTCGCTTCACAACATATATATGGAAGAGAGAAGAATACAGCTGATTTGAATTCGTGCAGAAAATCAATGCAGTAACTCGCCGCAATCGGGATTTGAACCCAGGTCCGGTCGTGGGGTGAGCAGCGGGATCACCACTACACTATCGACGAGCGGCGAACGGGCTGAAATAAATAAAGAGTAAACATTATTCGTAGTATAAACGGCTGTAACTCTGTATATATCGCTGTCAAGTCACCTCCCGCTAAAAGATCAAGGAATCTAGCAAGCTGTTTGGATATCAAATACGAGGACGAAGCCTGTACGACATGTTTCGGACTCCTTCAAAAATTTGTGAAAATGGAGAAGGAGATAAAGGGCCTCAAATTAGAGATGGAGAAGCTGAGGAATCTCCTTCACTATTCAACCAAAGAGAATAAAAGTGAGCGCATATACGCAAACACGGCCTTCTCGGCTGTCTCGACAGAGGAAAAAGAAAATAGAAGGTCTCTAGAGCTCCATAAGAATGACAACCAGTGTCTTGTGCTAGAAAAGCGCGGTCAGACACGATCTCAGTGAACAAAAATAAATCTCAGTGTACCTCGAAAAGGCACAGAGGGTCAAACGAGGGAACAAGAGTTGGCTACGCCGCGGAGGAAAATCGCGCCGTTGTAAACGAAAAATGATCAAAAGTTCGTAGTAAACAGGCAATCGTGCGTTAGCCCTGTTCAATCAAACCTTAAGGCTGTAACCGGGATGTACGCAATGAACAGTCTGCAGGTATGATCAAACCACAAGGCCGTCTATTTGATCGCAGTAAATATATTGTTATAAAGGGCATTCAGTTCAGTTCAGTTTATTGAGGGAAATGTAGGTCTTCACCTTTGAACTCCCTATTTGTTTACAAGCAACTGCAAAATCTCAAAAACTCGAAAAGGTATCATAAAGTAACAAATAATCGGAAAAGCGTCAGGTCTGTACAGACAAACACACTGTCTCGAATTTTAGTGGTACGAGCAGTTGTAGAGCTGTCGTTGCGAGTGCAGCGGAATAAATAATATGTCTGGGGACAAAATTTGCATATGTGCATGTCAGTAAGCGTAGGCGATGGGTTGGTACAATAATACGTTCAATTTAATATGTTACTGAAATATAGCAATTAGTATTATAATAGCGGAATTTGTTGAGGTTACAGAGATCGGGGTGGTAATTTAGTGCACACTGCTACACAAATCCAGCTTCCTCTTAAAAACCTCGACGGAAGCAGACATAACGACATCCACAGGCAGGGCATTCCAGGCTTCTACCACTCTGTTGGAGAAGAAGAACTTTCGTGTGTCCAGTCTGGCCCCTGTCACACGTAGTTTGAATGGATGGCCTCGTAGATTTGTGGTGGTTGCTAACTCGAAGAAGTCCCCCGGTATGAGGCTGCAGTCCTGACCGCGTATGATACGGAAGACTTGTATCAGGTCACCCCGTAACTGCCTGTAACTCAAGGGAAAGAGATGAAGGTTAGCTAACCGCGTTGCATATGGTAGTGAACCCTGTCCTGCCACAAGTTTCGTTGCACGCCTTTGAACCCTTTCAAGGATGCTGAGGTCCTTCGCGGTCCAGGGTCTCCAAGCTTGGATAGCAAATTCTAGTTGCGGACGCACAAAAGTTCGAAAGACTTTAGCGAAGCAGTCTTCGTCAAAGGCAGAGAAAGCCCGCTTGACAAGGTAGAGGACTGACATTGCAGACTTGGCTATCTTCGTGCAGTGCAGCGAGGGTTTGAGCGAGGTCGTAATCCATACTCCCAAGTCCTTCTGCGAGTCCACTTCTTGCAGTGGTATACCATTTAGGCAGTAGGCCATATGGTTCGGAGAGCGAGCTCTGCCGACTCGTAGAATATTATACTTTTTCTCGTTGAACGGCAGAAGCCAGGCCTTTGACCACTGTTGGAGTCGATTTAGGTTCGCCTGCAGATGCTCTTCGTCATCTGCAGTTCGAATGACGCTCCAGAGCTTAATGTCATCCGCAAACATGGCGACACCACAATCCAGTTCACTCACGCAATCGTTGACGTAAATTATGAACAAAGTAGGGCCAAGAACTGAGCCTTGGGGAACACCGCTTTCAACGGCAACCTCCGTCGACCTCTGGCCACCGACATGGACAGTTTGACAACGGTCTAACAGGAAACTTTGAATCCTGTTTAAGAGGTTACCCCTAACGCCTGTTCGGCTCAGTTTGTGCAGGAGTCGCTGATGTGGGACACTATCAAATGGCTTTTTAAAGTCGATATAGACTACATGCAGCGCACTGCCTTCATCAACTGACCGAGTCCAACGTTCCAAACAGTTGAGCAGGTTAGTCACGCAAGACCTGCCACTACGAAACCCAAGATGCGCATCAGATAATAAATTATGCTGCTCTAGGAAGCGCATCAGCTCTCGCTTGATTATTTTCTCCATGAGTTTGCAGCAGATGGAAGTGAGGCTAATTGGCCTGTAATTGTTTGCAGAGGCCTTGCTGCCTCCTTTATGCAGTGGTGTGATCCACGCAGATTTCCAGTCGGCGGGCAAGCCTGAGTCTGTTTCGGGCATTCCAAAGGACAGAATACAGCATGACATAGAAATATTCCAGGAATATCTCAAATCGATCTAAGTAGAAGACGAGAAAGTCACAGTATTAAAGGCTTTCAGGATGGGCCAAATAAAAGACTCAAAACAAGCCCCAGACCGACTGAGACCGTTAAAAATTGTCTTTGAGAATGACGCACAAACGCAGCTACTTTTGAGCAGAAAAGCTGCGCTTCAACATGCTCATCAATCGGTTTTTTTTCAGCGGGACTTTTTCTCGCGGAGCGAGAAAAAAAGAGCAATGCACAAAACCAAGAATTTCTGGCGATTTACAGACCACCAAACCTTCTGAGTGCAGCTGATGAGTCGCTCCTTGGTTTAGACAAAGACGTAGCTAGCCACCAAGAGGTACTTATTGCTGGGGATTTCAACGCACCTGCAATAGAGTGGGAAACTATGGCAGTTAACGGTGGGCCAGCCTCTTTCAGCAATAAGCTACTGGACCTCACACTCGATCTCCCTCTGGCGCAACATGTGAAAGTACCAACAAGATTTCGAGAGAACCAGAGAGCAAATTGTCTGTACCTAGTTTTCACTAAAGACTTCTATAATATCGACGAAGTGTATTCCAATGCATCTCTCGGGAAAAGTGACCATACTACGCTGCCATGGGATTACTCGCCCTTCTCTCAACGCCAGAAGAGAACAGGAGGCCAACCTAATATATGGAAGGCAGATTTTAACACGATAAAGAACGAATTGCTGTCCGTGAATTGGGACCAATAACTAAGGGGAGATCCGGAGGACGACTGGAGATCTTTTAAGACGATTTCCCTCGATCTCATTAGGCGCTGTTGTCCACCTAAAGTACAAAAAACAACTAGTCGACGTGCTTGGTTAAGTAGAGACCTAAATAGGCGGCTACGGAAGAAAAGAAAAAGATGGAAAATATTCAGGGAAACTGCGTCACCAGCGCATTTCGAAGAATTTCGTCGTCAACGAAATGCCGTCAAAAAATGTATCCGTCAGGCACGGAAGGAGTATAACTCCAAAATTATCCAACAGGCTGAAGAGAAGCCTAAGATTTTATTTCACTATCTTAACAGTAGACTGAAAAAACAAGGACCCGGTCGCGGTGCTGAAGAATGATAATGGTGTAGAGATCATTGAGAACAGCGAGAATGCCGAACACTTAGGACAGTATTTTGCCTCGGTTTTTACTAGAGAAACAGAGTTTCACAGTCGCAGTGTCGGTAATGCTCTTGAGACTGCTGGTCCCGTGCTTAACTCCATACTGATCCCGACAACTGTCGTGGAAAGGGAGCTGCAAAATCTCAAGGAAACAAAGTCCTCGGGTCCGGACAATATACCGGCCAAATTCTTGAATGAACTCTCCAAACCACTGGCACACAACTTCCGATCGTCATTCGAATTAGGGAGGCTGCCATCGGAATGGAAGACAGCAAATATCTTTGCGATATACAAGGGCGGGGCTCGCACTAATGCCAACAATTACCGGCCTGTTAGTCTAACCTGTATCTGCTGTAAAATAATGGAAGCCATAGTTAAGGAAGCAACAATGAAGTTCCTGGAACAGGGCCATTTACCATTAGACTTGCAGCACGGCTTCAGCCAGAACCGCTCGTGCCTTTCCAGTTTATTGCTCTCGACGGAGCAATGGACTCGCGCACTGGACGAGGATGATAGGGTTGATGTCATCTAGACAGACTTTAAGAAAGCGTTCGACAGCGTCCCACACAAACGCCTAATCTACAAAATTTCTGAAATTGGGATAAGAGGAAGGCTGCTTACATGATAACAGATTTTCTTACCGGGAGATAGCAAACCGTGTGCATTGAGGCCTCACGGTCAACTCCTACCCCCGTTCTAAGTGGTGTACCTCAGGGCTCTGTTTTAGGGCCGTTGCTATTCCTGGTTTACATTAACGACTGCGTCGACGACCTGGGATGCAGCGCCATCATGTTTGCTGACGATGTTAAGCTGTGGAGACCTATCACATCTGACGCAGACAGGTACGCGCTTCAAGACAGTCTCAACCGCCTGAACACTTGGTCAGTTCTTTGGCTCCTTAATTTTAATGTGGACAAATGTGTGGACCTGAGACTCCGCACCAACAAGACCAGGTAGGAGCACGATTCCTTTCAAAACGCCCTTAGTGGTCAGCCCATTTCAAATGTTGTGGAGCAGAAAGACCTGGGCGTCCTAATGACCTCCTCGCTGAAACCATCATCACAGTGTCAAAGGGCAGCCAAAAGTGCGATAAGGATTTTATTTGCGCTAAGGCGAGGATTTGTGCAAATCGATCGGGAAAACCTATGGGGCAGTCGTCCGGTCTCACTTAGAGTATTCAGTCCAGGCCTGGAGACCGTGGTTGAAGATAGATTATCAACGACTGGAAAAAGTACAGGCGATGGCTACGACGATGGTCAAAAACCTTCATCATTTGCCTTACGAAACCAGGCTGACCGAACTAAATCTGTTTCCTCTAAATCACAGGCAACTGCGCGTCGATCTCATTCAAACCTACAAGATTGTCAGACGCCGTGAGTGTGCCCTAGACTTTAATGAATTCTTTCAATTGGCCGGGACTGACCGCCTACGTTGTCATCCCTTCAAACTGCAGAGGAAGCGGGCTCATTCGGACGTCCGACGGAACGCGTTCTCTCACAGGGTCATTGGGGCATGGAACGGACTCCCTGATGCCGTCGTTCTTTCCGAAATTGTGAAACCCTTTAAGTGCAGTCTAGATGCTCATTTTTTGAGAAAATACTGTACATATAATAATGATTGATTTAGCGGCGGCAGTTTACGCCTGGCTCACACTTACCGCTAACATTTTAACTTATCGCTTTTGCTGATGTAACTGATGACTTTATTTCTGTTTATAGATATGAGTAGGGAGCTTAAGTACGAAAGCCTCATTCCCTTAATAAACTG